ATAAAATTGTCAGAATATTTCACAGCTAACACAAAGTAACACAAACAGAGAGCAAACAAAATATCGACAATACGAAACAAACCCAAAAAGGAAATTAAATTAAGTGAAAAATTGAAATGAAGCAGTTATAGTAATTACAATACAAAATAATGGAACAATTACAGTGTCTCTTCAATTGAATAACGAGATCGCACGTTGATAACGAGTTTCTCCGGAAAAGGGTTAAAAATTGATTTCCTAAATTATTCTAACTGCCCGAACGAAACGCGTGAGTGGAAGCTCGACTCGTTTCGCTTAACTCTCGCCAAATGAAAGTTTCATGCGTTCCCGCGCAACTGCAAAGGAATCATCGAATCAATCCCGCGGGAAGCAGACGACAGCACTTAACTCCCGTCGCCGAGCATGAATGTTTCACGAGCCTTTAAGCCTACGATCGTGGTTCCACGGTGGCAAAGCAACGTTCTTCCATCGCAAGGGGTCCGTTTCAATTCATCGAAATTATTCCAAAGGAGAATTCAATACTCCGATGTTCTAAACCAAATGTAACATCTCCACGTGAATTAATTCACTCGTAGAATCAGTCGTCGCACTTACTTTTATCAACGAAACCGTAAGACGAAAGAATTTTCTGTGACGGAAAAAAGGGGGAAGATTGGAAGTGGCGTTAAAGCAATTAAAATGTAAACGAGAAGAATCTAAGTATTCCTGACCGAGAAACTTTCTGCAACTGTGTTCACGAATGCAACGAGATTCATGATACACCATATTGCACTCTGAATACATAAAACGACGAAGAAACTTCTTGCCTGTGCGCAATCTTTATGCAGTCTCTTATCAAAATTAAAATATCAAACTGTGGAGAATACGAAGTAGCAAATCAAATTTTCAGGAGGTCCTGAAAATTCAGCGAACCTTCTTCCTCGTAATCTCTCGTCAAATTTGCGTTTATCTGTCGAATTGAAGCATCGAAACTATGAAGAATAAGTTAAAAATAAGATTTTCTGAGGGTCCTAAAAATTCACTCAACTTTCTTATCAAATTTGCGTTTATCTGTCGAATCAAAGCTTCGAAACTGAAAAATAAAAAGTGACAAATAAAAAATTCTGAAAGGTTTCAAAAAATTTCCTAAAAATTCACCGAACCTTCTTTATACGCTCTCTTATCAAATTTTCATTTATTTGTCGAATTGAAGCTTCGAAACAACGAAAAATAAAATGTTCAGGTCCTAAATATTCAGTAAACCTTTCCCGTTTCTTCTGGAAAAAAGCTAGAAAGTCTTGAACAATAAAGCAGTTTGGAGGAGAGCTGAATGAATCCTGTTTACGACGGGAATATTCTCAAAGAGGAGATATCCAGCGACGAAAATTACCAGAATAAAGTTTCTTCCGGTTGTCAGGGTGGATAAAGAAAGAGGATAAGAGAGATGTACGTAAACATACCCAGATCCATGATGTGTTCCTCGCCGAACCGTCGCTCCGCGTGAACGTGAAGAAGCCCGAAAGCGAGCTGCATTCCAGTAGTGAGCAACAGGGCGAGGAAGCCGGCTGCGCAAACCAGCCAACCCCAGCCACCCTCTGGATAGAAATGTGTTCGCATGCCGGCGACGTCTATGCCTGAAGGGAAAGATTAGCCTCTTTACGATTCTTCCTCAGCTCGTGTCCCTGTACTCCTTACAGGACAACGTTTACACTTCCGAGAATTGAAGGATTGAAGTCGGAACGACGACCGAGTAAAAAGAATACTGCTTTTTACGAATTTTTATATTTTTTTAGTATTGAATGGAGTGAAAATTAAAGAGATCTGTTTTACTCTGAGAAGGAAAATTGTCACGAGTCGAAAGCATGAAATTTCTGAGGAGAGGGAAAACGATATTTCTGCTTAGAAAATTACTTAATTAGTGAATTTTCATTGGTAACTTCTGAAATCTCTTCTGATGGTAAATTTGTGGATTAAAAGATGTTCCAAGCAATAAAATTGAAGACATCAGAATGACGACCGAGTAAAAATCAAATTTAAGAAAAAGGGTGTTTTGTTTTCTATGAATTTTTTTATTATTCAATGGGGTGAAAATTAAAAAAAAATCTGTTTTACTCTGAGAAAAGATCTGTTTTACTCTGAGAAGGAAAATTGTCACGAGTCGAAAGCATGAAATTTCTGAGGAGAGAGAAAACGATATTTCTGCTTAGAAAATTACTTAATTAGTGAATTTTCATTGGTAACTTCTGAAATCTCTTCTCACGATAAATCTATGAATCAGAAGATATTCCAAGCAATAAAGCGAAAATTAAAAATTTCTGTCTTGTGTTCCTATCTAATATCGTCTGCTCTCTTGCTTCAGGATTTCAGGTAATTTTCTGAAAACTCCATTTCCAACAATTCCGTACCTGGACGACGAAAGGCTGGTACGCAACGATGAAGGCTCCTCAGATCACCGAGCACCCAATTGTTATTCCCGATCATGCCATCGTGGACACTGCCCTCCATGTCCATGTAACGCATTCGAGTATCTAGAAAAAGCACAAAGAAAAAAGAACGAAATTGAAAAAGAGAAACGGTGAGAAAAGTTCCGAAGCAATACGACTTTTACCGTTCAAATATAACTTCTTTCCAAGTCGTTTGAATACAAATTAAGAAGGCCACGCGTGGATTAATCCCAGCGGATTATCCGCCGTTGTTTTTGCGTAATTCGACGATATATTTGCAGGACTTAATTGCACCGTGAACTGGCTCGCGGACGCGACCAATGAATTTACGTCGCGGCTCGTTTTGTGCACCGGCTAAGCTTGCACGATAAAGATAAACGCTGTTTATTGTGAATTCAGCATCGTTAAAGACGAACTTTAGGAGCAGCGAGTGCAGTCGAAACATGGGGCGGCACCTGATTAAAATTGCAATTCATGGAGTTGCCGGAGTGAACTGCACAGACGTTATAATACTGGAAAATTCTTTTACAATTGCAATTTCCACCTCGTGAAATTAATTAACCTTAGAATCAGCGTGGAAATGCACCAAGTCGCGCCTATTATTGTAATCCTTCTTTTCCCGGAGACTGTAGAAACTTTTGTTATTGTTTCAATTTGAAATTCATTTATTTTGCGAACACAGTGAGTAATATTCTAAAAAATTTTCAAGTGTTCGTGATTTGATTAATTTTTTAATGTCATCATTATCGAATTTTCTAAATAATATTGCTTCCCTTTTTCAAGTACACTCTTGGTTGAGTGAAAATTTCTATTATCATTTGGAATACTCTTTTCCAGAGATAACAGGAAATTCATTTATTTTGGAAGCACAGAAAACTGTGTTCTCGAAGAATTTTGTAATATTCTTGACTTCATTCTTTAGAGTCGTTATCATCGAATTTTCCGAACGATAATATTTCCCTTTCTTTCTTTTTTCAAATAGTCTTCGTCGAGTGAACATTTCAGGAAATTTACAGAAATTCCAGAAAATTTTATCATTCGCGAGATTAATTTATTCCGCAAACACAGAAAACAGCGTTCTCGACGAATTTCGAAGCATTCGCGACTGATTCATTTTTTCAAATTAATATCGCGAAATTTGCCGATCTCTCAGTTGTCTCAGCGAGGCACCGTAATCTCGAAATTAGCATTACCCAGTTGTACGGCCCCAGGGCTGTCATTAGCGAGTTCTGTGATCCCAGAATTATCGTCAGGCTGTCCTATGATCTCGAAATTATCACTCGCGAATCCGATAAGCCTGAGTTGTCGCCACCGGATCTCACGTCTTCCGAGTCCGCGTTTCGGATCTACTCGATTCTATAATTTCGACGTAGTATCCGTAAATTTCCACGATTTTCTGATTACCACCATTCAATATCGCCGTTCACCACTGGAATTTAGTATTCTCGAGTTATCTCTATCAGGTTCTACAATTTTCCAACGGTCATTTGGAAATCCGGCTGAATTCTACGTTATCAGAGCTCTGCGACTCTTTACCGTCAAATTTTCAAACTTCATGTGTCGTTCGTATTGGATCATACCAGAGAAAATTATCGCTACTGGATCTATATTTCTAGGAATGTTAGGCATAGCTGTCTTTCTGCCTGAAATATTCCTTCGGACTAGATTCTTTTATTTGAAAAAAATTACAATCTTCTGCAAGGGTGAGTTGGAAATACTTGAAAGATGTGTTGCAGTTTTCCAAGGGAAAATTACATAAATTGCAAAAAATAGAATTTTTGGTACTAATAAAAAAATTGCAGATCTTCTGCAAGGACGAGTAAATATATTGGAAATAGTATTGCAATTTTTTAGATAAAAAGAACTTTTAGTACAGTTAGAGATGATACAATCCTCTACCAATACAATTAAGATACTGAATAAATTGTCGCACAAGATGAAATGTAATTCTAACAGTATTCACCATCGTAGAATTTTGCAAATGATAAATAAACTAAAATTTCAAGTGCCTAAAAGTAGCAAAATTTTGAATTTTTTCTTGGTACCACGAAACTTCCCTAATCATTCCAAATTTACCTAAACAACGAACAACTAAATATAGTTGTCATACTTGAAATTTACGTCTGTACACAGGATATACGTTACACAGCGAAAGTTAGAGGCAGTTTAAAAATATTTGAACACAGTGAAAAATTGACTTTGACTAGACAGCGACCGGATCTCCTGTATCCACGTCTGGCAACGTTGCGTGCCACGAACCAGGGATGAAACGAGTTGAAAGAAATGAAGAGGAAAAAGAAAAGTCAAGAGGGTTAGATAAAAGTGCTCATGAAAAGGAGATGCTAGTTGCCATGGGACGGGGGCGAGGTGCGCCAGACCTCTGGGTAGAGGGTTCGAGAAAACGGGTCGATGATTTTCAACCGAAGAAGCATGAAAAATCTTAGAAAATATCCCTCTCGAACACTTGAATCGCTTTTGTAAAGAGACTGCGTCAAGGATCGAGTTATTACCATAAAAATTTCACCGGGGAGAAAAAAAATTCCTGGGAAATCTCTCCCTTGATAATTGAATTATAGATGACATGAAACGCTCCCTGTCGAACACTTCGATCTCTTCTGCAAAATGGCTGAGCCAAAGATCGAATTATCGGCGTGAAAATTTCACCGCGAAAAAATCCTAGAAAATCTCAGTCTTGCCGGGACAATTTCGCAAGAAAGATTCCTGGAAAATCTCACTTTGAATAATTAAATTATAGATGACAAGAAACGTTCCTTGTCGAACACTTCGATGTCTTCTGCAAAAAGGCTGAGCCAAAGATCGAATTATCGACGTGAGAATTTCACCGCGAAAAAATCCTAGAAAATCTCACTTTTAGCGTAAAAATTTCGCAAGAAAGATTCCTCACTTTTACCACGAAAATTTCGCAGAAAAGGTCCTTAGAAAATCTCACGTTTAAAAATCGAATTATCGCCATAAAAATTTCGCACGAAAGAATTCCTCGAAAATCTCGCTTTTGAAGATCTAATTATCAAAATAAACAATGCTCACAACGCGTCTGTTAATGAATTAAAAAAAGAGAAAATTGGTGTTCCTACCACAGAAAATCGTGTAAAGTTCGAAAAACTTCTGAACTCGGCCAAGATCAACTGGACTATTCGATCAATTCGCAGAAGAACCGGCGAACCTCTATTGTCCCCCACAATAGACAGAATTTTGATCCCGCGACAAATAAATCACCCGGTGCAACGTTGTCCCAAATTGTCGAACGAACACTCGCGTATTTTCATTCATCACTTGATCCGTTCCCATCAATGTTTCGGCGAAAAAAAAGCAAACGAACCAACAAAAAAAAAGCGCGCGGAAAAGGGGGGAGATCGTTACTTCAGATCGACGAACGAAGGCCGCAGGAAACAGAGCCGCGCAATTTGAATTTCCAGCTATTTTTCCGCCGCGAGAACCAATTTTTTAACGTCAATTCGTATGCCGGCTCACGCGAGCGTCATTTGTAAAGCAAAAGGCAGAAAAAAAGAGTCGGCAGAACGGGAAGAAAGGGAAAAAAAATTGGAAAAATATTAAAGGGGCATGGATCAAAGCAACGCCGGAGAAAAAAGGGGAAAACACGGGGGAGGGAAACGGCGTGACACGCATTCTTAATTTCGCCACGTTCAACGTTCACTCCTCCCACCCGCCACTTTCCACCTTTTTTTTTCTCACCTTCTTCTCACTCTTAATTACAACGTACAACGACGGGGGAAGTTGCCGCAAACAGCAAAAGTTCACCGTAAAAATCGTCTTTACCGAGCTAATGAAGTTTTAAGCAATTTAAAGTAGAATTTCAGCGGCGCTCGCTGTTTGCATTTTTATTACGCCTCTCTGGCCACCGCGGAAAATGATCCTTTTCCCGGACCACCCGAAAGCTTTCTCGGCGTCCCCGTGTAAAAACAGGGAAAAATAGCGGCGCGTCGCTCGAGATACTCCGTCGTTTCTTTCCCGCCCTCTTTCTTCTCCTCCAAAGGACAAACTTCGAAGTTATAGAAATCCAGCTAACCGGTCCATATTGTTCCTCTAAATACGTATCAATCTCTGTTTCAACTTTCGACAAATTCTCTTTCCTTCCACGAATTTTCAACATTTGTAAACACAGTAGTTTATACCGGTAATTAATTCTCCAACTGGAGCCAGCCGTCGCGTGCACTATAGTTAATTACCCTCGGCAAAACGTTCTTCACGTTCCACGATGACGTTGGTTCACGTCGATTCGCGCGCAATTAGAAAAAATTCATTCAACTCCCGGTGTTTGAATAATAATAATAATAATTGCAGATTTTTTCTCTACTAAATTTTCATTTCACGTGAAAATTCCACTGTTGATTCCGGGGCGGTGTGAATTATTTTCTCCTAATCTTTGCAAGTCGAAATGGAAGTCTCATTAACGCGCGGCTACGCGAAGGGAGAATGAAAGAGAAACGGAGAAAGGAAGTTTTTCCCTGGCGGATGGCACAATGGATCGGCCGCAAAGGCGAATCGGCCAGAGGGACGAAATATTCTTAATTACCTGCGCGCGTAGCGGAGGAGATAAGCGCGGAGCCAGGCCAAAAAAAAGGGGGGATGGAAACGGCTCGTGAAAAATGGATCAACGCGTCAAAAAGGGGTCAGAGGGAAACATGTCGACCTACGAAACGAATTATGACGCTTTCTCCACACCATGCTGCCCGTGTCTTATCGCTTTGATGCAAAACCCATGAGGGAACTTATTGTGAATTTTTCAGTTCTACTAGTATTCCTTTTTTTTTTTTTGGAGTAAGAGATGCTGAGGTGTTTTCCATGGAAGAGCTATGTTTCGGTAGGTTAGGTTGTTTTAATTTTTTGAAAGGTTCTCGTGCTCCGTAACGTGATACTAACGACGTAATCTTGCGATGGACTGGGATAAGTAGAATGAGACGCGTCGAGTCAGACAGAACTGTGGTGTGTATACTTGTTTAAACGGGGTTTAATTAGGGAATTAAATGTGAGGTATATTTTATGTCGCGTCTGTATTGAAGTGGATTGCACGTGTAGTTGATGTGAAATGTGTGAAGTAATTG